AAAGGCCAAAGAGTTAAAAGTCTCCAGTGAGCTCTGGGCCCCTCAGCCTGGGGCTCGCCCTCCTCCCAAAGCCAGGGGGGCACCAAGGGGCACAGCAGGAGCTGGCCGCCAAGCAGAGTAGAAAGGAGCACAAGTCTAGTCTGTCATGTCTCGTGTTTTAAAAAACCCAAACGCTGTGACTTTGCGGTGACCCAAGTCCCCCAACTACGCGGGTCGGCCCAGGGTGGGAGGCCGCCACACCGTAGCAGCGTGGTGGTCACTGTGGGCATGCGACAAAGTGGCCATAGCAGACAAGCCACAGGAGCTCCCAGTGGCTGGCTGTGCCCTCCGTCCCGCGGGCTCTCCTCTGCCATCAGCCATGGAATGTTCTCCGCACACAAGGCTGCTGCTTGGGCCCTGTGCTGCAGTCTGCCTCAGAGGCTCTCCCCTCCAGGCTACCGCCTGCTTCTGGCCACCAGCTTTCTCCCCTCCCCTTATGTATCAAAGGCCTCAGTGTACCCCGGTCCTTTGACCGAGTGAATCCACGTCAGGGATTCTGCCTGAGGAAATGATTCAGCCCGTGCATGAAGATTTATATAAAGATGTTCATCACAGTGTGATTTAAAATGGTGAAAGGTTACCGACGATCGAAAGAACCAGCGTTAGGATAATGTGGTGGGCCTTGGAACGGATGGTAGCCTGTGGGAACTTGACACAAGCCTCAGACACTTGCCTTTTTAAAGAGCCCCACAGGTGATTCTGATCCACACCAGGGTTGAGAACCACTGGGGTCATCTGATGAGATATGTGCCACCATTACAAATGATGTTTAAGAAGAGTTTTTATATAATGTGAAAAAATGCTTGCAATATACTAAAGGCATAACCAAATTAACTGGGAACTGGACAGCCTTGCCAGGAATAGCTCAACTGTCTGAAAGTGAAAAACCAAAAAAACAATCAGAATGAAACAAAAAGGACCCCCAAACCCTAAAGCCTAGGTAGAAACATGCTAACACGTCTTAATTCCAGATGATGGGATCACGGGTGTTTTCTCATTTCTAGTTCTCTGTTACTTTAAACTTTTTTTTTTTTTTAAACCAAGAACAGGTGCTATTTTTATAACCAGAGAAACAACTAAAAGACAAGTGGCCCCAGGGAGGTCATCCTAACCTCCCTCTCAGCACTGTGCTGACTGCCACCCAAGGCACCATTCCCCACGCCACCCCCATGTGGCCGGTGCTCCCTATCCGTCATCCCTTCTTGGGCTCACATGTGCTTTGCAGTCAATATTTTAATTAATCCCCCAAACAATCTTGCATTGAAAGTGTTGTTATCCCATCTTTCGGATGAGAGGAATTGCCTAGAATTCAATCTATGGTTCAAAAACCATCCAGGTAACATGGTGATGATTCTTGGCCAGAAAATTTTAGGCCCTCTGGCTTCCCTCCCAGCTTTCCAGAAAAAACCTCTTTGGGAGCAGATGAATGGGACAGAAAGCACGACAAATCTGCCATATCTCACTGATTCTAGGACGCAGATATCTTCACACAGACACACACATCTCTGGAATCTGGATGTGTCTTACAACTGATGGCATCCAATTGTCATCGGCAGCACCCTTTCCTGTTTCGTAATGGTACCTAAAGTAAGGGTGCATTTTACGATCGAATGGCAGCTGAGACTCCACGAAAGGTACCATGTTTACAACCAAACTCGTTATCCTATCCTCAAAACGCTACTTTTAGCGACTATGTAATAGTCTAGCAGATGGATATTTTTAAATTTATTTAACCAGTTGCCTATTCGGAACACTTAGTCTGTTTATGATTTTACCATGATAAATACAGCTACTGGGAACACCTTTGCATTAAGTTTTTTCTTTTTCTACTTATGGGCATCATCATCTTCTCCCAGAAGTCTTGGGAAGCATTTTGACGTTTCTTGCCCCATAATTTTTTATCTTTGCCCTTTATTTTTTACCTTTGTAGACCCCATCTAGACATTTCTTCTTCATGGTACCTCTTCCCGGTGTCACCACCAGAGGGCTCTCTTCTGAGTCCCCCTGACGGTCTCCTGGTCCTGCTTCCTGTATTTACTGTTCAAACATATCTCTGCTGAAAAACTAACATTCCCTATGGGGTGAAGTTTACACTTGTAGTCTAGCATCCCAGGCTCTGTCAAATTTGGCTCCAACCTCTCTCCTGCAGCCCCCTCTCCTTACCCAAACTCACAGCCCCAGACAAAGTGGCGGTGAGGGGTACTGCCTCCAAGCCTTTGCTCTCTCAGTTAACTCCACAGCCACCACACCAACGGAGGCTCTTTCTTTTTCCAAACCTAAACCATCAGACCCAGGTCAAGTTTCACCTTCCCTATGAAACATTTTATGGCTTATTTGATCCTTATAACCATCTGGGGATGCAGAATGATAGGTATCCTAATCCTCATTTCACAGGTGAAGACACTGAAGTTTAAAGAGATTAAGTGGCTCGTTCAAGGTCGTACCGCTTGGAAGTACACAGCCAGGCTTTGAACTCCAGGGCTTCCGTCCTTAAACCCAATGCCTTTTAGAGCCAAGTGCAAAGTACAACCATAAACTTCTTCTGAGGAGCAACTTGTGCCCAGATCATATATCCAGCAATGCCTACCAAGATTCAACAGCCTTCGGATTCTCGACACATACACGACGATAACGAGATCATTTTAAAAGTGGAGACACCGCACGTCTGTCAGTTCCCAGCAACACAAGGGAAGGACCGGGCCAGTTATCCCATCTCCTTCTAAGGATGGGAAGACAGCCAAATTTTTCTTGAATTATACGGGCGCTCAAATCAGCCCTAAACCTGACTGGTTTGGTTGGGCCCGAGGTCAGGACACAGAACGAGAGCTGCCTCGCTTGGAGACCAGGAGGCAGACCTAGAGAATGTGCTTTAACTAAGGGCTTTAGAGGACCCCAAGGAAGTCGTTCACAGGAAGCACGAAGAGAGTGCATCCCTTATGTTACGTGACCATGACACTGCCTGAGGCTGAGGCAGCTCAGCAAGTGAGGCCTCAGTGCGAGACGGGAGACAAGGAACAGGAGGCTGGTGGCACGAGGCCGCCGCTCCCTGACCCCCACTTTGCGGACAGTATGTCCTGGGTGAAGGGAAAGCAGGTGTTTGCTCCTATTCTGGGTCTCGCTGAGACACATGACCGAATCAAAGTGGTAAAAAAAAATAAAAATCTTAACATATAACTGTGGCTCATGGGGAAGCATAACCGAGAGTCACTATCAGAGTTTGCACACGAAATGTACCGTCTGACATATACTCACCTGCTGTCATTTAAGACAATAAAATACTACAAGTTAAAACAAAAGACAGAAACAAACAGGCCTGGCCGACAGACAGCGCAGCCTAAGCTGGTCCCTCATCCCCACTCCGACCGGGGTCGGCTGCCATCGCCCGCCGGCTCAGGATGAAGGGAACTCTGTGCTCCTGACAGAAAAGGGCTGTCGGCAAGGTTGCCCTCCACGTTCTCTCCTATACAGAGTGACCCAGGTCCCCAAGCCAACTTCTCCGTTCTCCTTGGCCAGGAGTGGGCCGGGTAGAGGGGTATTAGATGAAAGCTTCCCACTGAAGCTGGGACAGTGGGTACTTTCTTTGGTTTGACCCGATGTCTTGATATCTCCACAATAACTTCTCACCTCACAGGGCAGGCGGGGGACATGGATGAGGCAACTGAGGCTCAGGAAGGCTGAAGGGCCACGGAGGCGGGTAACACTGTTTCCCAGTCCTCTGCACACTCCACCTTGGCCGCACCTAAGAAGTGAATCCCCAGGACACCTTGCTTTCTCAAGGGTGGAGTAGAGGCCCCTTTAAAGGAAGAGGGCACTGGGACAGAGAGGGAAAGCACAGGCTTTGGGACTATCCGGCTCCTCCACTGGTTAGCAAGTCGTGTTGCTTCTCTGAGCCTCAGTTTCCCCATTTGTTAAGTGGAGAGGATCCGCAGTGAGAGCAGGTGAGTGTGAGGTCTGGGCACCGTATTTACATGCAGCTGGGGCTACCCGGGAGGGGAGGGATCTTAACAGTCACAGGGGCAGTACGACCTCTTTATGCCAAGAGGTAGGGTGAGGAGAGGGTGCCCTCCTGGCCTCACCACTCTCACACACACACACACACACGCACTCTTCTAGGTGAATTCAGCAACCAGATGAAGAGCTGGCTTCTTGTGACCCCTGCGGTACATTTCTCAGCCCTGACCAAACATGGATTTGTAAATGCCAAGAAGCTACTCACCGGCTCAATTTTCAGAGCGTTTCGGTAGCTGCCAAAGAAAGCGGCCTGGGCTTTGAGGAAGGCCCTGGCCACACCATCCCCCGTAGTTGTGGAGACCTTCTTCAGCCGGTTCTTCAGTGAAGAGATCTGGTGACAGAGAGAGAGGAGACACAGGTTGAGGGCAGGGTGGGAGCATGGCCAGCTAAGCCCAACACGCACGGAGCTCCAGCAATTCCCCGGGCGGGGGATGGCTTTCATATCGCCGCTGCTGGGAGGACAAAATTGCATTCAGTATTAGGGTAGGTTCTCCAACTGGAATAGAAGGTCGTTCCTATTAGAGGGTATCAGATAAGAACAAAAACAAAACCACTTTCTAAGTAGTTTCAATGTACCAGGTAAGTGCTTTCACATCAATTTTCTAATTTAATTCTGTCAACAATCTTGCAAGGAAGGGATTAGTATTCCTGTTTCACAAGGGGGAAAGAGTCTCAGAGAGGTTAGAATACAGGTCTAGGAACAAATCCAAGAAGTGGTTAATTGGAATATGAATTGAAAGTCTTAGAATCTGAGCCCAAACCACACACATTATCTTGGTGCCAATTCTACTTCCTCTTCAAATTACTTACATATTATCACTTACTTATATATTAGAAATAAATGGCTTATTTAGAACATACAATATATATCTCATACCTCATACTCTATATGTTAAATAAGTATATTAAAAATTGTTTATCAAATGTATACAAATATATGTATAATATAAATTATTATATACTTCATACTCTGAAGAAACAGTAGCAGCTTGTAGATATTTTCTCAAGAGATTTTAAAAAATAGACAAGAGGGGGCGCCTGGGTGGCGCAGTCGGTTAAGCGTCCGACTTCAGCCAGGTCACGATCTGGGCGGTCCGGGAGTTCGAGCCCCGCGTCAGGCTCTGGGCTGATGGCTCAGAGCCTGGAGCCTGTTTCCGATTCTGTGTCTCCCTCTCTCTCTGCCCCTCCCCCGTTCATGCTCTGTCTCTCTCTGTCCCAAAAATAAATAAACGTTGAAAAAAAAAATTAAAAAAAAAAATAGACAAGAAAGCCATGGAACTGGGAAAAGCCGCCAGAAATACTTAGCATATAAATGTAAGCTATAAGGTCTTACATGGTGGCTAGAACTACATTGCAAATTTGACTTAAGGGCCTCCTCGTGGTCAAAGCAAAGAGAGAAACACGCGTTGTGAGATTCTTTGCATCCATGTATTACAAACAAACCAGCCGAACAAATGAAAACACGTTTTCCTGGAAGTGGGAACTAAAAGAGATTTTTCCCTGTGAATCCTCAATGCAGGAAAGACTGTGTAACATGGTGGCTGTTGCCCCCAATGACAGAGACAACATCAAGCTTCCTGGTCTGTTTTGAACGTGCTTTCCGTCCCCCTCAGGATGCCACACTGCACAACTTCCGGGCACACCATTCACACTGTGTTCCATATGAAAAGTACCCCGGGAACATGGCAATGGGGTAGCCTTGAGTCAATGGTGAGCAGGACCAGACATGGGCCCTGCCCTCATGAAGCTGACATTCCAGTAAGGAAAATACCAATCCGTGTGACCTTGCTACTGTGATGTGTGTATGACAGAGCTCACTAAGGAGGTCAAAGAAGGCTTCCTAGAGGGAATCAGGCTTGAACAGAAATCTAGAGGGTGGGGGCGCCTGGGTGGCTCAGTCGGTTGAGCATCCGACTTTGGCTCAGGTTACGATCTCACAGTTCGTGGGTTCCAGCCCCGCATCAGGCTCTGTGCTGACAGCTCAGAGGCTGGAGACTGCTTCGGATTCTGGGTGTCCCTCTCTCTCAAAAATAAACATTTTTTAAAAATTCTAAAAAAAAAGAAAA